TTTGGGGGGTCCCGGGGGGCTCCCGGTGGGTTTGGGGGTCCCGGGGGGTCCCGGGTTGTTTGGGGGTCCGGGGGTCCCACGCTGCCCCCGTGCCCCAGGTGACGGACATGATGCAGAAGGCGCTGTTCGACTTCCTGAAGCACCGCTTCGACGGGCGGTGAGCGGGACCCCCACCCACGGGGGACCCCACCCACGGGGACCCCCACCCACGGGGGACCCCCACCCACGGGGGACCCCACCCACGGGGACCCCCACCCACGGGGGGACACCACCCACGGGGGACCCCACCCACGGGGACCCCCACCCACGGGAGACCCCACCCACGGGGGACCCCCACCCACGGGGGGACACCACCCACGGGGGACCCCCACCCACGGGGGACCCCCACCCACGGGGGGACACCACCCACGGGGGACCCCCACCCACGGGGGGATCCCCGCCGCGGGACCCCCACCCACGGGGGACCCCACCCACGGGGGACCCCACCCACGGGGGACCCCCACCCACGGGGGACCCCACCCACGGGGGGACCCCACCCACGGGGGACCCCACCCACGGGGACCCCCACCCACGGGGGGACACCACCCACGGGGGACCCCACCCACGGGGACCCCCACCCACGAGGGACCCCCACCCACGGGAGACCCCACCCACGGGGGACCCCCACCCACGTGGGGACACCACCCACGGGGGACCCCACCCACGGGGGACCCCACCCACGGGGGGATCCCCAACCCATGGGGAGACCCCCACCCCATAGAGGGACCCCCACCCATGAGGAGACCCCCGGCCCACGGGGGACCCCCACCCACGGGGGACCCCCACCCACGGGGGGACCCCACCCACGGGGGACCCCACGCACGGGAGACCCCACCCACGGGGACCCCCACCCACGGGGGACCCCACCCACGGGGGACCCCCACCCACGGGGGACCCCACCCACGGGGACCCCCACCCACTGGGGACCCCACTCACGGAGGACCCCCACCCACGGGGGACCCCACCCACAGGGGGACCCCCACCCACGGGGGACCCCACTCACGGGGACCCCACCCACAGGGGGATCCCCAACCCATGGGGAGACCCCCACCCCATAGAGGGACCCCCACACACGGGGAGACCCACACGGGGACCCCCACCCCATAGAGGGACCCCTGACCCCATAGAAGGACCCCTGACCACGGGGGGACCCCCACCCACCCCACCCCACAGAGGGACCCCCGGACCCGGCAGGGGGAACCTGACCCCACGGCCACCCCGGGGTGGGGGTGACAGCAGGGGGGTGACAGCGGGGTCAGGAGGTGGCTTTGGCTGTGGGGTGACACCGGGGTCCTGGGGGTGACCGTGGGGTGACACCGGTGTCCCGTGGGGGGTGACCACCCGTGGGTGTCCCCGCGTGTCCCCAGGATCTCCATCACGCGTGTCACGGCCGACATCTCGCTGGCCAAGCGCTCCGTGCTCAACAACCCCAGCAAGCACCCGCTCATGGAGCGTGCCAGCGCCCGCTGCAGCCTGGGTACGGCCCCGGGCACCCCGGGCACCCCCGGGGACACCCCCGGGTA